GTATTCTTATAGTTTCATTTATTACTTAACAAAAATGATATTTATTTAACAATGCTTAAGTTAAAAATATGCTTAAGTTATAAATAAAAGCATGCAAAAGTTCTCTTTAAGAAAAAAAATCAGAAACGGAAATTAAAATAACTGTCTCAAATGAGAAATAACAAATCGCAAAAATAACAAAGGATAGACTGGTCTGATAATGGCTAACCTATGCCAGTTACTTTTAGATTTAAAACAACTTGTGAGACTTAAGGTGCAATTATTTTAAAACAACTTGCAGAGAAAGGTGTGAAGTTAAATGTTTTAAAACAACTTGTGAGAGGACCAAAAATTATAATGCATTGCTTTAAAATTAATATAATTTCTTATTAAAAATCTTTCATAGAACAAAGTTTTTGTATTTTAGTAGTTTTTTTAGTTATTTTTACTAAATACTGACTTAGTAGCTTCTTTTTTTTTTTTTTTTTTGAAGAAGAAATAATATTAAATCTACTTTTCATAAGTCTAGAGTATAATATTTATAGAATTTAAATATTCTAAACAATTTAAAAAAACTTAGATAGTTTAATTTTAGTTCATAGCTGGTTCTATCACTCATTATGAGCTGTGCGTAGATTTTTATGAAAAGTTTTCATGGGTTGAATACATTGTGAGATGTGGATGGATGCCAAATGGTGAACAGTAGGTTTTTATTTTAATATGTTTAACATATAAATGTAAAAATACTTTATAAATAATAATAATTATTTGATATGTTTATTTATAATTTATTTTTATTTAAAAAGTTTTATTTAATGTTATTGGTTAATTTTTAATTTTTTTTATTTCATAATTTTTATGACTTACATAATTTTGCAATTATTGTAATTTGAAGATTCTTCTTCAAAACATAAAAAATGTTTCACTCTTCTAAATTGTTTTTTTGCAGAATTTAAATGCAGATGCAAGTCTTTAATTGTTAAGTTTTTAAATAAATTTTGATTTTGGAATGAATTTTTTTATTTTTCTTATTTAATATATAGTAAATATTAACAATATGAATAATGAAGGTTAATTTGTTTTACGATTTTATAAGATTTTCAAAATAGATACAATCGTGTTCATGATACATAGAAAAATGTTCTTGACCATAGAAAATAATTACAAACAAAAAAAACGGAAAACAAACATTCTTTTTAAACAAACATTTTTTTTTTCTATGCACAGTTTTTTGAAATGCACACTTTAATATATATCTTCTACTGTATTTTTTATTTGATAAGTAGTTTGTATGTATAAATGCATTTATACTTATATTTATGAAAGCAATTTAAGTTTGTATAAACTATTAGGCTCAAAACATTTCCTGTTAACTTTTTTGCTGACTTTTACTGAAATGTCCACCCAAGATATTTTTTCTTTTAGCATCTTTTACAGTCTTTTTACAATTTATTGTTTGAGAAATATTAAATAAATTTTTATTTTGTTATTGTTGGGCTCAACACTAGTTTAACTCTAAACATGTGATTATATTTTGAAGTGCATCAATATAAATGATAATAATAGTAAGTGATTATATTACAGAAACTTGCATTAGCGTGAATCTAAGTGTTAACTTGTTTTTGTGCACTAAATGTTTTACAAATACTGGCATCAAACCAAACTTACATGTAGCAATTTGTATTTTTATAAAGTAGTTTTTTTTTTTTTTAATAACTTGTTTTTTAATAAAATAATTTCATGTAGTGGTAAGTGCTTTAATGCAATACTGTATTTTTATGTAGTAATTTTTGTTTTCATGTAGTAATTTGCATAAAACTTAACTTAAATTTCAGTATATGGATTCAAGTTTTAAACAGAGCTCAAAACAGATCTGCATTATTACGAATACCAAGCTCTGCATTTTGTACTGTGAATTCAAGCAACCATGTAAATGAAAAAATTGACATCTTGTTGGATGAAAAATCTGACTACTGGTTTAATGTAATTTTTAATAATTCAGATTTTTGTTTACTTGTTTTGTGTGTGTGTGTGTGTGTGTGTATTTATATATAGACACACACATATATATATATATATATATATATATATATATATATATATATATATATATATATATATATATATATATATATATATATATATATATATATATATATTATTATTATTATATCGTGTGTGTGTGTGTGTGTGTGTGTGTGTGTGTGTGTATTTATATATAGACACACAACATATATATATATATATATATATATATATATATATATATATATATATATTATATATATATATATATATATATATATATATATATATATATTATATCTTTTATTAAGGTCTCGAATGCTCTTCACTTTCTATCACCTTGTTTTTGCAATGAAATATCATTTATATGGATGTCTGAAAAAACCTTTTTTAAGCATTTATATAGATATACGGTAACAACAGAGGATGAAACTTTAGATAACATTGATAACATGGAAATAAATAATAGTGAATATGTCATTCGTCATTGTCAAGTATTAACAGAGCAGCCTTTAACTCAAGGAGAGTGGGATGTGGATAGTGAAAAGGTTTTACTATACTGAAATTTTGTTATATATTCAATAGTATTATATGAATGGTGTCTGAACAGTGTAATTGACTGCATTGAGCTGCATATTTTATCATACTTCTTGTTTTACTTTACAAAATGACAAAAAAAAAAATTTTTTTCTTCTTCAATAGTATGTTTTTTCTTTTTCTTTTTGTATTCAATTATGTGTATTTATTTATTTACTTTTTACATATTTTGTTTTAAGTTTATTGTCACTAAAGCAAATAGCATCAGTCAATATACCTTTAGTAACCTTGGCAATGGTTCATCATTGTTGGTTATCAGTATAGACTAAAAACTGACTGAAACCATCCAAACATGAATGTTTGGATAATCTTATAATTTGTTTTATTTAATTATTTAATTTAAAAAGTTTAATCATTAGATTTGGTTAGATGAAAGAAATGATTTAGTTTATTTTCTGGGTAACAAAGACACACCTCTAGAAAAACATCTGTAAGTCTTCATTATACAATTATTTAATATTGTAAAGAAAATTAAAAAACATATTCATGTCTGGAAAATATAAAACTGCTAATTATATTTATTTATTCTAGAGAGATAGTCCATAAATTATGTCACATAATTTTTCGACAGCCTTGGAATCCATCTTCCTCCCCCTCCACCTGCCCTCTTTTAACTTGTAAAATTTTATAAATTTAATTGACTCATTGTCTGAACAAACGGACAAATAACCTCTGAGTATATTTATTAGACAAAGTTAATAAGTATACAATTTTAATATACATGTTGCACAATTATTTAGTGTAGTACTGTTGGTATCACAATATTTTGCAAAGGCGAAAGCACAGGTTTTGACTTATGGTCTTTGATGTTTTAATTTTGTTTTATTTTAAATTATATGTAGTTTTATGTGTATTACCTTTTATTGTTTATTAATAAATGTTTCTTTTTCTTGATGATATAGCAGTAGGCTGCATTATGGCTATATCCTTGAATGATAGTTGTAGGCTATATTACACTATCATTCAACATTGTAGAATGATAGTGTAGTACATACATACATTCATTAATTGAATTGCATATTTATCATGTGTTAATAATATTTCTCATCACCTAAGAGTTTGTGTTTGGAATATCAAAATCAAACAAAAAGTTTTCTAGATTTAAAAAATAAAAAATCATTTTTGCTTCACAAAATCAGATACCCCTCTCTCCCTTGTGACAAATCATCACAAAATCATTATTCACTACAACAACTTATGCTCCTCCTATTGGGTGACATAGTTTGTGGACAACTCCTTATGTAAATTCTAAACACATTCATGTATTCTTGAATTTAACTTTATTATTGATTTTTTAAATCAGTTTTTGTATATTTTAGTTACTGTGTTTCTTTGACAACACCTGAATGGATTGAGCGAATGACTCTGCTTGGTTATTCTCATTCTGTTACTCTAAGCAAAGTGAGTAGTTTTTGAAAATAAGTTCAGTTAAACATATTAAGAAAAAACATGTTTTTTTTTTTTTTTTTGGTACTTTATTTCTTAACAAAAACTTCAATCGTTTTTTTTTTAATATTGTTTTGACTTAGATAAAGTCAAAAATAGCAGTGAAAACTTAATTTTCAAAATTTTATACCAATTTAATGCTCTAGTTTTTTAGATAACACGGTTTTCTGTAAGTGTCAATAGTTTTCTAGATAACACGGTTTTCTGTAAGTGTCAATAGTTTTCTAGATAACACGGTTTTCTGTAAGTGTCAATAGAAGACAACCATATGGTAATAACTTATGCTGATGTTAAAATGGGGAATATATTGTTGGTAAAATAATATTTTTGTCAACATTTTTTATCAACACTCTTATGCTTAGATGTTTTAAACCTCGCGAGATTTAATTGCAGACTTCAAATATTAATGCATCGTTTTGTATATTACATAATTTACTCCAGTAGTTTGACTTAATCATATATGGTTCCTTTTTGGATGAAAAAACATTTAACATAATAAAAATGATTATGATAAATATTCAACTATTGTTCTACAATTTTTTGATTCAGGTCAGGAGAATTTTAGCTATTAAACCAGAATACAGTAGGTCAGCAGTTAGGAAATTCTCCAAAACTTAAAGTTTTAGAATCATATTTTTTGCTATCTAAAAATTAGATTGTTTTAAGTCTAAAAAACTTTGCAATTTCATTGAAAAATACTGACAAATAATGTCTACTATTGAAACACCTCTAAAATTATTCATCAACATTACCATTTTTATATATATATATTTCAAATAAAATACACAAATAACAAAAAAAAATGTTTTTTTCGTATAGTATTTTTGTGAAAAATAAAATCCATATCAAACCTATAACTAAAAAATAGCAGCGCCTGAAAACAATTATAAAATCATGCTAATATGCTGACTATCTATTGCAACAGAAATTTTTACCCCAAATTATTGATTTTGTCCCGAGACAATCTTCTAAACCCCATTTATCCCAGATTTATCTTCAATTATTGCAAAACAATAGTTTTGGTTTTGACTGGGACCTATGGCCCTGCATTTCTATTTCATTTGGGTGCGGGGTGTTGTATTTTACTGTTTCAGTCCTAGTTTGTGGGACTAAAAACCAGGGATGAAGAAGACAAATAGTGTGCTTTGTTGTTCCTTAAACAATTCAATAGAAGATGGGCAAAGACAGCAGAGTGACTTACTTCTTGGTCTGGGATTTTTTTTTTTTTTAATGTTATTTAGGTGCCGTAAGAAGACCTAAAGGTCATGCCTCCTTCTTTACTGTGATGCGAAAATATGTCTAGAGCTCATTTCGAACCTGGATCCTGCTTATAAAGCAAGCGCTCTAACCACTGCGCCACGACCGCATAGGTATAACTCTAACCACTGCGCCATAAGCCGCATAGATCAGGAAGGTGTTGATTAAGTTTATCGAAGGTTTTGAAATAAACAATAATATCTTTGTAGATCATAAATTGGAACTTACCATGATTGGTGGTAAGGTATGTGCAGCTCTCAGTGTGCAGACCTATTTGAGTTAGAGCTGTTCCATTTTTTAACAGAAGTCCTCATTTGTAAACATACCAGAATGTAAAAGTGAAGAGTATAATTCTTTGTTAAAATAATTTAGACCTATTAATTTAATTTAATAATAATTTAGGCTTTATCCTCTAGTTAGATAGTGAGCCCTGGCACTGGACTTGCAAAAATAACTATTGAAAAGAAACCTTAATATTCTCTGCGCTCTGTTTTTCCAACAAGGATGTCAATCTTGATCTATTCCAAGTTTATCACTAGACTTTTTTTTTAGGATTGTTCTTATGCAGTAATATTATCTTCTTCTGTGACTTCATTAACTCAAGTAAATCTGTGCAAAATTAATACAATCTGTTCAGCAGAACAAAAAAAAATATCGTTGCACAGTGTAGGTTGGGTGGAAGCTCCAAGAGGTTTTTATTTTTGTTTTAAATGTTAACAATGCTTAAGTTGTTTAACTTATAAATTCAATTTTAATCAAAGAAAATATTTTTTATTTACATGTTTATATATAATTCGACCTATATATAATAATTAATATATATAATTACACCTATTTTTATAATTTTACTTTTTAGATGTTCTTCCTACCTCTAGGCTTCCTGAATTGTTTAGGTACAAGAACGCCCAAGGTGAGTTTTTGATGAAAAACAATATGTAAAATTATAGTAGATAAATGTTGTTTCCAGTCTTTATTGGTTGTAATTTAATATATAAATCAGGTTATGATATCTATGGGATGCTGTTTAAACCAGTGAACTGTACAGAAGGTGAGAAGTATCCAACAATGTTGTATGTTTATGGAGGACCAGGTGTTCAGGTATTTTACTATAAAGTTAAGGAAAAAAAAATTAGTTCAAATTATATTATGGGTCATTCCCAAATTTCCATACCAAATGAAGTAAATTTTTATGAGATTCATCATGGACCATCTCATATTTTGCTGAAACTTTTTGATTTTGTACATATATATGAGAAAAGCATGTTTTGAAAATTTTAGATCAATATCTTAACTGTAGTGAAGGGGGGCTAAAATTGGCATTTTTGCTTTTGAGTCAAATTTTTTTGTACTTTTAAAAAGCTTAATTTTAAAAATTAGATTAAAAATTAATATAAATTAAATTGCCTGTTGATCTACATGTGGTGGATAAAGATTTTAAAAATATTTTGTTGATTGGAGAGCTCAAAGTTATAAGTCATCAATGTTGGATCAAGATTTTTTCAAAATTAATCCTTGATGCAAAGCATCTGTTACCTGAGATAGTACCTTTTTTTTTTCTTCGAGATTTCTTATATATATTAATCAAAGTTAATCAAACTATTTGTTCATCTTGTTAAAACACAGGAGTTCACAAAATAAATAGTTTTTATTGAATTAAATGTTATTTGTTATAAAATGATAATTAAAAATATAAATAAACATTTATAATCTTATAACTACATTAGATAAAAACTTATAACACTTATAATCTTTATAACAATTATATTTATAACGAAAAACAAAGTTTTTTGCAATTCTTAAATAGTTATAAAAAAATTTACATTAGTTTTAAATACAAAATGTATGATGATAACTAAGATATTTATATATATCTTGAAATTAAAGGTTAAATTTTTTTTTAGCAATTGAGACCATATTTAGTCATTAATACAATAAAAAGTTATTATGACAATTAAAAAAATTTACTTCATTCAATTAAAAATAAATTTCTCAAATATAATTTAATTTCAATGATCGTTAGACTGAATCTTAAGAGATCAAACTTTGCATAAAATATGCATCAGTTACCCAACAGAGATCATCTCTGCATGGATACATTATTTGCTGCACAAAGAAAAATTTTTCATAAATTTGTATGCAAATCTTGATGTTTTGCACATTAGTGCAAACACCATCATTCTAATCATAAAAAAAACATTATTCTAATGAGGTGACATTGGTATAGAACTGTGGTGGTTTCATTTAACAGATATTGTAGAACATGAATTTAATTTTCAAATTAAAGTTTCCCCAACACAGGTACTTTTACCATGTGCTGTTTCAAAAAAGTGCTACTCTGCAGCAATGTTGAAATATTGTTGATGGTATATATTATCATAAGTTGACAATATTTTTGTAATTTTAATTTGATGCAACTCCATCACTAAAAAAGAAAATTACAACAATACATTTGATGTTCATTTTCGTACCTCAACAAGTAAACTATCTTGTGACAGTTACAAATAAAATCTATGAGATTTACGTTGATTCTCAAAGAAAAAGGCTCATGGTTTAGTTTAGATTTATTTACTTTTTTAGACTTGCTAAATTTAATATGAAGCACTGTTCAATTAATGGTTTACCAATACAACAAGGAGAGATCTTAAGCATGCTACTTAGCATTATTTAGTTCTCAAAAATTTGTTTAGTTCTAATTTTACTTTTTAGATTGGCATATTGTTTGAAAATTCAATAAACAAGTTTTAACAAATTCACCTTAAGACCTTTTTTTGTTGTTGTTTTTATTAATAAACACTCTTTGATTGAAGCATAAAAGAAAAAAAGAAAAAGTGCTATCTTAGGTAACAGGTTCTTAGTATCAAGGATAATTTTAAAAAACCTTGATCCGACTCACATTAATGGCATACAGTTTTTGAATGTGGAATGTTTTTAAAAATGTTTATCCGCCACATGTAGATCAACAGGCAACTTAATTTTTATTAATTTACAAAATTAAAAAGTTTCAGCAAAGTCTGAGATGGAACCTTTATTTCACTATGCATGAAATAACCTTTATGTCATTTAATTTTAGTTAGTCTCAAATTCACAACGCTCTGTTCGTCGATTAAATTTGTATGCTTTACCATCATTTGGTTATGCTGTTGTCATGCTGGACACAATGGGATCATGTAATAGAGGGATAAGGTTTGAAGCAGCCATTCAAAATTGTATGGTATGGATATCTTTAATTAATTACTTGTAAGAGAAAAAAAGAAAGAAAAGTCAAGCTGTTCCCCCCTTCTTCCGGCTCAGAAGAGGCGTGGAACAGCTTTCAATTGATTTGTGCTTCAAAATAAAATTTTCGAATATTAGCTGAAGTTATTATTACTAAATAATATAAATTTTAATAATGCTATTATTAATTATTGGTTATTATATTTATTAATAATACTCAGGTTTACTATTTTAATGGTATTAAGTTCAGATTTGGTTTTTTTAAGTACTTTTTTTGATAATATTAGAGTACCATCTAACAATTTTGTATTGATAGCTACTCCTAAAAAAATGTATAATAATTGCTGGTAGCTATTCATGAACAAAATTCTAGTTGAGTAATTTAAATTCATTTTTTTATACAGGACACAAAATAATAATTACAACAGTTATTCTGAAACATATAAAGTTGAGATACCATTGTCATTATAATTCAAAACCTAATAACCTAATTATTATGTTTTTATAATAGGAGAATCACAAAAACTTTCGAACTACTTAATCTTTGATATGATAATCTTTTGAAAAACCTTTTTTGTCATTTTAAGCTTTAAAATGAAATGTTGAATTTAGTTCCTGTTTTCTAGCTAAACTAATTGAGTTTTAAACGCTTAATATGAATAAATACATTAGTCAAAACTAAGATCACTAGGTCTTAATTTTGCTAATGTGTTTATTCATAATCAAAGTTTAAAACTCAATTATTCATATAGTATAACTTCAACTGATTTTTTATTTTATGTTTATTGTTATAAATTTATCATCATGCAGCACAGTGTAAAGCTATATACGGTCGTAAAATTGTTTTAAAGTTTACCATTGTTTTAACATTGTTATAAAACTAGACTAGATCATGCTCAATCTTGGAACAATTGTGATCTAATTTCATTTATTGCAATGTTTTTTAAGTCAATTTGTAAAGCACATTATTAAATATTTTAAAGTTCCCTATAAATAGGTGTGTAAGAAATAAAGTTCGCTCACAATTAAAAGTTTAGTTGCAAATATCATTGGTTTGAAAGTTCACTCAATGTTCAAATTCACTAGGGAAGAAGTAAATACTCTAAATCTTATTTTTAGGGTCAGATTGAAATTGAACAGCAGATTGAAGGTTTAAAATTAATAGCAGAAAAATCAGGAATAATCGACATGAACAGAATTGTAATTCATGGCTGGTCATATGGTAAAATAAACGACTTTTTTATAAGTATTATTTATTTTAAATCTCTTATGTTCCGATGTTTATTGCAATTGTTTATTGCAACCGTTTAATGCAACTGTTTATTGTAACTGTTTATTGCAATTGTTTTTTACAACTGTTTATTGCAATTGTTTATTGCAATTGTTCTTTTTTAGGTGGCTACTTAGCTTTAATGGGATTGGCTCAGCGCCCTGATATATTTAAGGTTTTACTTTTATTATGTTAATTATTTTATCTGTGCATTTTTTCATTCAGTCGATGTTAAATGTCAATATTATTGAGTACAAAGTATTTGCACATAAGCTATTGTTCAATTTTATTACTAATAGTTGTTCAAATTTTTTATCAGAACTATTCATATTTTATCACCTTGTTAAAACAAACCTTTAATCAAACACAAACTTAGTAAATTTGTTTTGTATCGCCTAAATAAGAGATTTTTCGGAGGTCACCTAGATATTCAAATTTTTTATTAGAGGACTTAAAAAATAATTAATAGTATCACCAACAGTACTAAAAACGTCATCTTTTCTCTTCGAGTAACTTCTAACTCTAATAGTGTTTGCTTTCAGCCTTGATCAAAGTGAAGATGTTAAAGAAAAAAAATTCTGTTTTTTAAAGAATATATATTAAAAGAAGAATTAAATAATTACCGTTGATTTTGAAACGTGACTCACACTTTATTCGATTTTCACACTTTATACGATTATTAGACGTTATGTCAGTCTATAATGTCTGATGATCATATGAAGCGTGAAACTCCGAGTCATGTTTCATATTCAATTAAAATTATTTATTCTTTTAATATATATTTGCTCTACTTTTGTATAAAGCATGTGTCTACCGAAAAAGTTACTTTTATTATTAATATATATTATATATATATATATATATATATATATATATATATATATATATATATATATATATATATATTCAGGGCTGTGGAGTCGGAGTCGCTAAACAAAATTGCGACTCCGACTCCAATAGTAAAACTTCTCGGTATTGCACGTGCATGTACAAAATATTTAACCTTCAAAGAACTTTTAATATATTTAGCAAAAAAAAAAAAAATTTAATTATCGCATAATTTTTTTAAAAGAATTTAAAGAATTTTGAGTCGGAGTCGTACTCTGAAAATTTCAACAATTGGAGTCGGAGTCGGTACTTTTTTTTACGACTCCATACCCCTGTATATATTATATAATGTATATATATATTACATAATGCATATATATATTATATAATGCATATATATTATATAATGCATATATATTATATAATGCATGTATATTATATAATGCATATATATTATATAATGCATATATATTATATAATATATATATAATATATATATATATATATATATATATATATATATATATATATATATATATATATATATATATATATATATATATATTAAGGTGGCTATAGCTGGTGCTCCTGTTACATGCTGGCAATTATATGACACTGGTTATACTGAACGTTACATGAAGTCTCCAGCCGAAAATAAGAATGCTTATCAAGATAGTTCGGTCCTTAAATTTGCTAGTCAGTTCCCTAATGAGTAAGTTTTTAAGTTTTTCTGCGTTGCAATAACTGTGCTAAAATAATAAAACAATGGGTTTTTTTAGACCTAACCGCTTGATGATAATCCATGGTCTTATGGATGAAAATGTACACTTCAGCCATACTAAGGCCCTTATCTCTGAACTTATTAAGGAAGGCAAGCCCTACCAGCTACAAGTAATTTTAAATTATTTTGATTTGAATTCTTTATTTTTTTTAATTTGGTAAATTTGTTATAAAATTTTAGAATTTTTATATTTTTGAAAAAATGTTGTTTAATAAAAATATTATTCTAACCATTATTCGTAATTATTTGTATATCCTAACTATTAATTGTGCGAAATTATTTGTATATTTGTTTTATCTTATGATAATATAAAATTAACTTGAGATAGTAAATCAATAAAAATTAAAAAACTATAATAGTTTATTGTTTTCAGGTTTACCCTAATGAACGCCATGGAATTCGAAATGCCGCTGCTGCCAAACATTACGAGACTAACGTTGTTTGGTTTTTACAACAATACTTGAGTACAATCACGTGAGTAATCTCTCCGCCATATAGTTATGGTCTATGGTCACGTGAGCTATCTCATTTAAGTCTACCAATCATATGGTTTTACCTTGTTTGTATCCAATTAACAAACTTCTCCGTTTCAATATCCTACACGACAAAAAAATATAGGCTTTTAAACTTAATTGCATTTTAAGCCAATGTCAAACCAATATTTGATGTATATGTGTATCTATGTATGTGTGTGTGTATGTGTGTGTGTGTGTATATATATATATATATGTGTATATATATATATATATATATATATATATATATATATATATATATATATATATATATATATATATATATATATATATATATATGCGCACACACATATGTATACATAAACACACACGTACCATTCATCTGGTTATACTTGACATCGAAGCTCAAAGGAGAAAAAACTGTATATAAAATAATAACTTTGAATGTATATTCATCACTAGATTACGGTGCGCAAATTACCGTACTTGCGTATGTCCTTGTTCAAAAGTTTTTGAAATAAAATTAAGAACGGCTGTATTATAATATATTTTATCAATTTATATTTTCTGATAAAGCAAAAACTGATCGTTTGTATTTCTTAAAAACGAAATACTGCTAAATGTTTAATTCGTAGTTATAACTGTTTTTCGTGTTTTTCGACGAGGTTGTTTTGATTTTTTTTTAAGAAAAATATGACAACATTCTAAACAATGAGATTTTTATTACAAGTAAAAAGCAAAACGACGACTAAAAGGTTTCAGAGATGTACCACAAACTACCTGAGTGTCAATAGCTCATTTTTTAAATTAATTCAAAACTGCATCAATTATGACGCAATATTGGATTAATTTAAAATCTATTCTTTATTTTTAAATGTACTAAGTTACTTTATAATGAATAACGTATGTAATAATGAATAATGTATGTTACTTTACAATGAATAATGTATGTGGAATTCCGCAAGGATCGATTCTTGGTCCACTTCTTTTTTTAATATAAATATAAATGACTTCTGTAATGCATCCTTAAAACTTTATTCAGTCATGTTTGCAGATGACACGAATTTATTTCTTACAAACAACGATTTCAAGAAATTATATGCGGACATGAATATTGAACTAAATAAAGTAAATAACTGGTTTAAGGCTAACAAACTCTCACTTAATACCAAGAAAACAAACTATATACTTTTTCATAAAAAAAACAAAAAGAAAATCTTCCTCTCAAGTTGCCGAACCTATTTATAAATGATAAATTAATTAAAAAGCAATCCAATATAAGATTCTTGGGAATCGTTGATGATGAAAAATTATCCTGGCTTCCTCATATAATATATATCCAGTCAAAAATTACCAAAATCATAGGTTTAATGTCTCGAGTTCGCTCGTACATTAATACAAATAGTCTTAAATTAATCTACTTTGGGCTAATTCACAGCCTCATCAGATATGCAAACATTTCATGGGCAAGTACTCAAACAGCAAAGCTTAAAAAAACTTTATAGTTTTCAGAAACATGCCTGTAGAATCATTTACTTTAAAAATAGGCGGGAACACGCTAATCCCTTGATGAAAGATATGAAAATGATGAATGTATTTGAAATAAATATCTACCAGCATTTAATTTTCATGTATCGTTACAATCACAATATCTCTCCTATAAGCTTTATTAATAAGTTTGAGTTAAATAAAAATGATAACTATAATCTTAGAGCGAATATGTTGAACACATATAAACTGCCAAGAATATTAAATAAATATTCAGAATACAGCATTTTATATAGAGGTCCAAAAGTATGGAATATTTTTCAGAAAGGGTTCAAAGGTACGGTGAGTTCGTTAAGCTCATTCAGGTTTTTAACAAAAAAAAGAAATCTTTAAAACCGGTGAAACATTTTTTGTTAATAATGCTTTGGATAAATTCTCTTAAATAAGTTTTTGTTTTGTTTCTACTTTTGTTTGTTGCTTGACAATTTTTATTAGCGGATTACGCATTTTGTTATGATATTTTATTGACATTTTTATTTTGTATGTCATATTACGATATTTTAATTAAATCTTGTTAAAGGGGTTTTATGAAAAGATTGCGATGACGTTCTGTCATCCTCATCTTCTTTGAGTCCCTATCTGTTTTACTTATTTTGTTAAATTTTATTTTATGTAGTATAATCTGTAAAATTCTTATGTTATGTAAACAGAGAAAAAAAGAAAAAATAATATATTGCATAGGGTTTTATCTAATAAGCTGAGAAAGAGTTTTTTTAAAAAAATCTTGATCCTAAAATTTAAAAGGTGTTTGTTTATGTCGAGTTTAGTTAATGAACACAGTAGCACGTTTTGTTTCTTTTACTTATTTACAAAGACTTCAATAACCATGGGTGATAGGTTACAACTGTTCTATTTGTATATAGGCTACTAGTAATTAACTGACGCAGTAACGTGTAATAGTGCTATATAAGTAGTTAACTAACATAGTAACGTGTAATAGTAGGATGTGTAACTGCGTATGGTACTAAGTTAACTAATTATGCAGTACTATCTTTCATTACTACGTTAGATAACTACTTATATAGTACCAGGGCCAACGCACTATGAATCCAAATTGCGAAAATGTGGCCAAAGCTTTTTTTCCGAATTTTTCATTTTAGAGAAAGTTATTCTTTTTTATACATTGTTTTTAGAAAATATTTATTATAAAGAGTATATCCAGAACATTTTTTAATTATTATTTATATTCAAAAAGTAGTACATCCTCAAACAGTCTAATACAACATTTTAAAGTAGATATCATAGTAAGAGGTTTTAATCAAACATTCAGATTTTTACTAGATAGTTTATTTCACTTGGTTTTGAAAAACAAACGTTGCACGATAAATTATAAAATAATTTTTGTTTGTTATTAATTAAACATGAAAAGATTAGAACTTATAAACATAATTGATGAAGTTGGTTCAAATAATGCGAACTTGCAAGCCATTTTAAAAGCTGAGGTGGAAAAAAAGCTCACCAATAACAAACTGTCTGATGACATTACTGATGTAGAACTCTCCGAAAAAATTAGACTTTTTATTCAAAGATTTAGAATTATATACGCAAAACATAGTCGTAATTTTGAAAGACTAATTAAACAAGAAGAACACTGGTTAGAGGGTGATTTGTTTCATATTAAAGATACTAATCCTGAATCAATATTAAAAGAAGGAAGACCAGAAAAAAAATGGGCAGAGTATTCATTAAAAACAAAAAGAAGGAAAGTTTCAAAGTATTTTCTAGTTTACAAGTAGTGTAACGAGGGGCAAAATGAGACACTTAAGCGCTAATATATCTAATACTAGTAATACTACTAATAATAATATATCTAGTCTAACAACTTTTGAAAAAATAAATTGATATTTTTCAATTCTTCTACGATCCTACTTGAAGCCTAAAAAGTATGAGTTGCAAAACTGCATTAGTTTGGTCACCAGAGATCATTTATTGACAGTACCTATCCTGTCTCATAACTTTATTAAATAAATAAAGTTAAAAAAAACATATCTTTAAGAGGATTAGCAAGAAATACATTTTATAATATATTACAGCTATAATCAAACTGTCACATAAATCACATATTGCTTAACCAGTATTTTGAAACAAACAACAGTCCGAATGAGCCCAGGTTGTGCATTTTGAAAATTGACTCCACTTATATATATATATATATATATATATATATATATATATATATATATATATATATATATATATATATATATATCCACTACAAGAACTAATAAAACCATACATGCATATATTAAACTTATGTATTTAAAGCACGCATAAAATTCATTGTATTTTGTTTATAGGTACTGCAATAACCTATATGTTATAATCTACTCACTATATATTTTATATACTACTTACTTTATTACATTACAATACAATAAGATTATAAATTACAAACATAGTAATTATAAACATCAGGCAATTATTTGCTTCAATTAGATTAAATATTTATTATATTTAAATATAAGTTAACAAAATATAAAACGTAATTCTATATTGGATAAAAATAAAAAGTAAGTAAATACAGTATAATAAATTTAAATCTACAGCATGTAAATATTAATATTTGCTTTGGTTGTTGTTTTAATGTAAAAAATTAAAAATTAAGACTATTTTATTGAAGAAATAAAATACCGAAAAATCGAAATGAAGGGAAAAGGCCTAAAGATTCTAATGAAAAAAAAACTTTAAATATAAAAAGCTTTTCCACTCAGTGAGATCAAAAAAGGCTTCAAAAAAATATAACAACAACTCTTAAAAATTCGTAATTTTCGCGAAGCCGAGGGATGAAATGGTTACCCTTTTACTCAACTTTTTTATTTCAAAGTGACTCAATATATTTTTCTTGACACAAAATAGATTTTGAACACAACTGCATTTTTAAAAATCTTGCAAATAATAATTTGTCGGGCTGGCATTATGTTAAACGCGAACTGTCTCGTATTGCCCCGCTGTCTCATTTTGCCCCGCGTTACCCTATTTATTATATTTGTTATACGTTGGATAACCTTATCATTATCATATTAAGAAAAATTTATAAAAATTTATCTAATAATGATTATATTATTTTAGTTTAGCTAAAGTCCACACAACTGAAGAATTATAAGAAGCTGCAATTTTACGTGCAAAATCTAGTCCTGGAAAATCTAATTTGATAAAGAAAATTAAAATACTTTCTGAAAATAAAAACGAAACAAACCAAAGTGATAAACATCAACCAATTAAGATGTCTGCTCAAGCTCCCTGAATATATATAAAACCCGCCCCTGAATATATATATATATATATATATATATATATATATATATATATATATATATATATATATATATATATATATATATATATATATATATATATATATATATATATAGATATATATATATACATACATATATATATATATATATATATATATATATATATATATATATATATATATATATATATATATATATATATATATATATATATATATATATATATATATATATATATATATATATATATATATATATATATATATATATATATATATATATGGTGGCGTAATAAGGTCCAAAAGTTGGGGGGGGGGAGACAAAAATTGAGGGCTGAGGCAGCACCTCCGCCCTCCTTGTTCCTACGTCAGTTAACGCAAATTTTTTTTTAATTTTTGTAAGTCACAAGCTATTATAATTATGCTAAAATTTTTGTTACTGTAGTTAGTTTTGTTTTTCTTTATAAGATTCTTCTCCCCGCCCCCCGGTTTATCTAACGTCTTTCTGAAATAATCGCCCTTAAATCGAAATGGAGCAAGTTGGAGCAGCTAGAAATTTTATATTTGTGTACTCAATACATTCATAATAATGTGGTTAAAATTTATTAGTGGACAAAAATGGACATTTTAAGTTTTTTTTACTTTTTGTAGTCGTGTAAATTAATATTTTAAAATTTTACTCCCTTCTTTGAAAAACATAAAATCAAAAGCTAAAAAATCGATTCATAATATATTTTTCAATTAAATCGGCGTTGACAATAGAATAAGATAATTAAATTTAAAAAAAGTGCTAGGATCTTATTAAATGATGTAGAAATTAATGA